TCCTGGTTTGCACTGTCTTAAAGGAAAAGCCTGAATGTGTAAATGAAGCAATCTTGCATTCTCCAAACACAGTGTCTCCAAGAGAGGGAAAGTGCTCTGTCCACTGTATAACTCTGGATGTATGTATCACTCCCTTTATGCTCGATAGATATTTCCTTCCTCCTCAGAAACATATTATTTTATTAATACATTTGATAACTTTGATTTTACTTTATTTTCAATTCTAAATAGTAACATTGAACTGAATAGACATTAAGTAGAGATGCTTATTTAGTTCTCAGAGGATTTAATCGTGACTATGAATATATGAGACAAAATGACTAAAACTCCCATAAACTTCTCTTCAATTCAGTTCAGTTCAGTTGTGTCTGACACTTTGTGATCCCATTGATTGCCACACACCAGGCTTCCCTGCACATCACCAACTCCCGGATTTGCTCAAACTCATGTCCATTGAGTCGGTGATGCTATCCAACCATCTCATCCACTGTCGTCCCCTTCTCCCCGCTACCTTCAATCTTTCCCAGCATCAGGGTCTTTTCAAATGAGTCAATTTCACATCAGGTGACCAGAGTATTGGAATTTCAGCTTCAGCATCAGTCTTTCCAATGAATATTCAGGAGTGATTCCCATTAGAATGTACTGGTTGGATCTCCTTGCAGTGCAAGGGACTCTCAAGAGTCTTCTCCAACACCACTGTTCAAAAGCATCAATTCTTCCGTGCTCAGCTTTCTTTATAGTCCAACTCTCACATTCATAAATGACTACAGGAAAAATCATAGCTTTGACTAGATGTACTTTTGTTGGCAAAGTAATGTCTTCTTTTTAATATGCAGTCTATGTTGGTAATCATTTTTTTAGGATTTGAAAAAGCTCAACTGGAATTCCATCAGCTCCACTAGCTTTGTTCATAGTGACGCTTCCTAAGGCACACTTGGTTTCACATTCCAGGGTGTCTGTCTCTAGGTGAGTGATCACACCTTTGTGATTATCTGGGTCATGAATATCTTTCTGGTATAGTTTTTCTATGTATTCTTGCCACCTCTTCTTAATATCTCCTGCTTCTGTTAGGTCCATACCATTTCTGGTGTGTATCGAGCCCATCTTTGCATGAAATGTTCCCTTGGTATCTCTAATTTTCCTGAAGTAATCTCTAGTCTTTCCCATTCTATTGTTTTCCTCTATTTCTTTGCACCGATCACTGAGGAACGCTTTCTTATTGCTCCTTGCTATTGTTTGGAACTCTGCATTCAAATGGGTATATCTTTCCTTTTTTCCTTTGCTTTTTACTTCTCTTCTTTTCACAGCTATTTGTAAGGCCTCCTCAGACAGCCATTTTGCTTTTCTGCATTTCTTTTTCTTGAGGATGGTCTTGATCCCTGTCTCCTGCACAATGTCATGAACCTCCATCCATAGTTCATCAGGCACTCTGTCTATCAGATCTAGTCCCTTAAATCTATTTCTCACTTCCACTGTATAATCAT